CCCAAATTGTCCCTAGAATGTTGGAATCACTGTTAGATTATTAAAACAGATTATTTTATCAAATATATCTTTCTAATTTTTTGAGACAGAGTCTCACTGTGTTGCCCAGGCTAGAGTGCCATGGCATCAGCCTAGCTCACAGCCATCTCAAATTCCTGGGCTCAAGTGATCCTCCTGCCTCAGCCTCCCTAGTAGCTGGGACTACAGGCATGCACCACCATGCCTGGCTAATTTTTTTCTATATATTTTTAGTTGTCCAGCTAATTTCTTTCTATTTTTTTTAGTAGAGACGGGGTCTCATTCTTCCTCAGGCTGGTCTTGAACTCCTGAGCTCGAACGATCCACCCGCCTAGGCCTCCCAGAGTGTAGGGCCTCAAAGATTTTTTACTTGACAATACATCATCACACACCCACCAGCAATGAATGAGAGAGATTGTCCTTTTCCTAACATCTCACCAATCTGATCAATGTGAAGTGTTATTTTACTTTTATTAATTAGTATTTCTATTATTAGTGGATTTGTGTATGTTATCATGTTTTTTGGCTAATTGAATGTGAATTACCTACTGGTGATTTTTCCCTTTTGGGTTATCAGTTTATAAGAGGTTTTTGTATACTATAGAAATTAACACACTTGTAATCGTATCAATTTTCTTACAATATATTATTTTAGTTTCTAATTTTTTTTTAAGAGGCAGGGTATTAGCTGGGGTAGGTGGAGTACACCTCTAGTACCAGCTACTCTGGAGGCTGAGGCAGGAAAATTGCCTGAGCCCAGGAGTTTAAGGTTGCAGTGAGCTGTGATGATGCCACTGCATTCTAGCCCAGGCAACAGAGCAAGACCCTGTCTCAAAAAAAAATAAAATAAAATACAATAAGAGGCAGGGTCTCTCTATGTTGCCTAGGCTAGATTCAAAACCCCTGGGCTCAAGCAGTCCTTCCACCATAGCCTCCCAAGTAACTGGGACTACAGGTGTGTGCCACCACACCCAAGTTTTTAATTTTTAATTATGTTTTTGTGTATGCTCCATATGTATTTTTTGAGAGTCATAATCAGTTGTGCTAGCAACATTATTAAAAATCCATCTTTGGCCGGGCACAGTGGCTCACGCCTGTAATCCTAGCTCTCTGGGAGGCCGAGGCGGGCGGATTGTTTGAGCTCAGGAGTTCGAAACCAGCCTGAGCAAGAG